GAACTTTATAACTTGCAATTGTGAGTTTATATCTCACAATTCTGAGGTCAGAATTGCAAGATATAAACTCACAAATCGTGCGAGAAAGAAGTCTATAGTTTATCTTGAAGTTCTGACTTTATTCCTTGCAACTGTGAGTTTATATCCTGCAATTCTGGAAAAAAGTCAGAATTGTGAGATAAAAATTAAGTTACCATTTTTTTTTAGCGGCAGAAACGAGCTTCCATAGGAAACAGTTCTCTCCTATAAGAATAATAATCAATCACTCTGTTCAACTCTCACTGGTTAACAGATCTATCAATGAGTCACCATGGGAGGCACCCCATTGGTTACGTAATACATCCATCATGTCTGAACAGTGAAACAACTATTCTCACATTCCACCTTCCCATTCATCTACTTTCCCTCTGCCTATTTTCCTCTCAGGAAATCCAGCTACAGAACACCAAATATTCCCATAGGAATGCTTCCTCCAGCCAACATTCCTCCAGCTGCCCAACATAAGTCCGACAAATTGTGAGAAGAAGAAGAAAGAAAAAAGAAAAAAAGTTGCTGCATAATGTGACCAACCCCATAGGCAATAATGAAAGGGCAATGCCAGCTTGTTTAGGAATGAATGGTGACCGGATTTGCTTTTTGAAATAACCAGCGAAAGAGTTTCTGTGTACATGCTGGGCTTGGTTTTAGGGAGTTAGCCTTCAAAGGTTTTAGGGGACAGTGTCACAAAACTTAGATTCCTGAGAGTTGAGTCAGTGCTATTGGCGGTTCCCTATATAGTCATTGCTAATATTGATCCTAGAGGTCGGCCTTTGACCTCTCCCACCATTCGCTTTTCCATATCCACTGTTATCTGAGAACATCTGCAGCTAAGGTTCACAAGGGTCAGAATGTAAACACTGCACAGCGCCACTAACACATCACTGTACTCAGCACACATTCATGTGAGGTACACTTCTGTTTCTGTGAAATGGAGTGTGAATGTTCATCGTTGTGCTAATTTCCTGCTGTCAAAACAAAGAAGATTAAACATTTGCAAAAAATAAATAATTAAGAAATACATGCGCCACTATACTTCCAGTCTTCTGCAAAATGTCCTATGACCTAGCCTGTTTAGTGCCTTCATGAAATATTCAAATACAATTTTTTGGAATATGTAAAAAATAAAACAAAGTACCAGGGCCCTTTTGCATAACACACAAGCTTGGTCACTTCCCATCCAAGTTAACTAATATTAATGTGCAAAGATTTCCACCTGTAATCAGTGTCAATAGAGTGCTGCAGTGATGATTTGTTTTTTTTTGTAGGACAAGCCGGAAGTTAACACAACCCTGGTTCCATCTAAAAAAAAAAGGATTTTTCCATTAGCTTTTGGATTATTTCCGAAATAAACTCTGTGAGTAACAAAAGTTTGATGATAATCTTCACAAATGAACACAACTTTTATGACTTTTGGAGTCTAGATACAATCAGCCTAAGTAAAAAGCTAAATGTAGGCTATAAACAAACTACACCATAGTCACATGATTTCAACGTCACCAGCATTAAAGGGTTAGTTCACCCAAAAATGAAAATTAGCCCATAAATTACTCACCCTCAAGGCATCCTAGGTGTATATGACTTTCTTCTTTCAGATGAATCCAGTCGGAGTTATATTAAAAATTGTCTTTGATCTTTCAAGCTGTTTAATAGCAGTCAGCGGGTGTTGCAGTGCATCAGTCCAAAAGAAGTGAAATAAAAAGCGCCCATCCTAAATAAATAGTGTCTCACACGGCTCCGGGGGGTGAACAAAGTCCTCCTGTAGCGAATCGATGCGTTTTTGTAAGAAAAATAACCATATTTAAAACGTAATAATCAATTTAATCTAGCTTGCGCTCACTGTTGTAAATGGAAGCAGTTCTGGGGGAATGACGTATGAGGTCGGCGTTGCCCATGCGCCGCTCAGAAGTGATGAACGCGGAAGCGCAGGGGAGAGATCAAACAAAACAACGGTCACTAATTAGAAGTACAAAACGAGGATTTGTAAAGAAGAATGCCAGAGGATTTCGATATAAGCCAAGAGGAGACTGGTTTTCCTTTGCTCCTGTAAACAAACGTTGGTTTTCACGAGACTCACCCGCGCATGCGCAACGCTGACCTCTTACGTCATCCGCCCGGAGCTGCTTCCGTGTAAAACTGTTGGCGCAAGCTAGATTAAAGTGATTATTACGTTTTGAATATGGATATTTTTCTTACAAAAACACATCGATTCGCTACAGGAGGCCTTTGTTCACCCCCCGGAGCCGTGTGAGATACTTTTTTGTTATGGATGGGCGCTTTTTATTTCACTTCTTTTGGACTGAAGCACTGCAACACCCGCTGACTGCCATTAAACAGCTTGAAAGATCAAAAACAATTTTTAATATAACTTCGACTGGATTCGTCTGAAAGAAGAAAGTCATATACACCTAGGATGCCTTGAGGGTGAGTAATTTATGGGCTAATTTTCATTTTTGGGTGAACTAACCCTTTAAGCTTCCCTCAACTCTTTTCATCTTTATTTGGACTACTGAGTAGATGAGTTTACCTGTACGGAGAATGGTGTTTAATGTCTCAGACAACCAATTGTAAGCAGCCACCTTTTTCAAGACAAGTATAAATCACAAGGGGCTATTACTGATTTATTTTATGTTGTAGAATAAAAAGTTAAAATATATTGAGCTTGTGTTCACCACAGACCTTATTTCAAGCATTTAACCACAAACCCATTCAAATGGACGATGGAACGGGAACTGAACTTGTTTCTGGGTTTTGGCCTACAAAAATACATCATCCCTGCAGCACTCTACTGTAAAGGTATATTGTGATATAATTTTCACAAATGCGTTTGAATATCACTGCTGCTTCCACAGCAGGTTTGTTTTCACAAGCATCCACCGCATGTGTTACACAGCTGTGTCTTTTTCACGTATAAAACCATTTTTAAAAGAAAAACCTGACAGCTTGAATGTCTATATATATAGGCAAAAAATGTATAAAAATAACTTATAAAAAAATAATATCAGCGCAACTGTTTTACACAGATGCATAGCAATGGTAAAAAGCTTCTATGTGCCAATTAATAAGTGAAGTATTGCAGTTACCAAACCTGTCCTACAGAAACTATCGTGCAGCAGCCTACAGTCAAGCTGTACAAACAATCATATTTACTCATACTGACCGAGAGGATAGTGTGTTAGATTGGTTGATAAGATTATCCAAAGGGACACACAATTATGACCATAATTATGAACAATGTAATCTTGTGCTTTTTAGGAATGTTTCACCACCAATCTAATAACCTACAACATAAAACTTAAAGCTCAGACTTTATCTGTACGGATTCACTTAATATTAGACAGTAAACACACCCCTATTCCATCCCCCTTTTTTCTATTTTGAGGTGGGGCCAGTTAAAATATTGTTGGAGTGATTACAAAACTGAACTACAGGCTTGACTGGTCCAGCAGAATAAAATCCTTATTGTTGTGCCCTGCTGGAACAGGCCTTTACCGTTTACCTTTTTCTGGCATGATCATTTCATTCTAAAAGAACAATGAATCAACACTATAGTCTCATAACCAAGTTTTGACAGAATTACTTACTTATCACACTGATGCCAGACTGAATGCGAGAACCACAGCTAGAAAAATTTAAAACAAAAATATAATTCTAGAACCAATACATTAGGACCTAAAAACATTCAGAGAAACCCCAAACCACTCAAACTTTGTTTTATTCAGTCATAAACACATGAATAGTTACTAGCTTTGATCTATCTATCTTTTATTAAAATTCTTGTGTATTAGGTACTTACCCTCTCATTTAATTAGGCCAGAATGAGCAATATTGATTCATCATTTACACACCCTCATGTCATTCCAAACATGTATTTCTTTCTACTGTGAAACACACAAGATATTTAAAAAAATGTTGGTAACAGTTTGGGTGACCACTGACTTCCTTTGTATGGACAAAAACAAAACAAAACAACTAAGAATCACTAAGAGATTTCTCAAAATATTTTAATATCCAACAGAAGAAAGTCACACAGGTTTGGAAGGACACGAGGGCGAGTAATTGGTGAACAATATGACACTTGGACTGCCACAATGTCATCATTTTTTTTTTGCACTCAAGTGTTATAGCTCATAAGCTTTGTTTTGTTTTCAAAGGTAAAAGCAGTGCATAGGAATAGAAAGTGTCTGAATCCAAATTTAAAGTGAATTAAGTCTCTTTAAAAGAATAATGAAGGCCACATGGGCTACACAAGTGTTCTGAGGTGTGCATTTTGTGTTCCCTCACACATACAAGAGGAGACTATTAATAGCATGTGCTATTTCATTAGCTGAACACCACCATCAGCAGAGCCTCAAGCACCACCCAAACTCCTATAATACAGTCAGGCCTGACATCACCCTGACCACTTCCCTTTTAGATATCACAATAAAACTAGCTCTGCACTAAAAGTTCCTGAGTAGGCAAACACACACACACTGAGAATGTGATGAAAAACTGCCGATATGCAAGCGGAGGGGAATCATTTGTTACTGAATATATATAGCTTTCAACAAGGACACATTTAACTGATCAAAATCATTTGAAATACATGCTTACTATGGAAAAAAAGTAAGAATATCACACTTACCATAATATTAAGTTGCACAAGTTTCAGCACTGACAATAAAACAATGTTTCTTGAGCAGCAAATCAGCTTATTTTAATAATTTCTAAGGATCATGTGATGTGACACTAAGAATGGAGTAATTGCTATCACAGAAATAAATTACATGTTAAAACATATTCAAATGGAAAACTTAAGTTATAGTTGTGATACTACCGTTTTTATGGTATTTTGATCAATTAAATGCTTGGTGAGAACAAGACTTCTTTCAAAAACATTAAAAAAAAACATTTTACACACATATATATATATATATAAAGAGGGAATAAATGAGATCATTCACACTTTTGACCTACACAGTTATTCATAAACTCATATGCGGCAAACTACAAACCAAATAAGAAAGACAATACACAGCCATAAAACATGGTGTGTGACAATCACCTGCTTTGTAATTCAAACAGTTCTGACCTTGTAAATATGTCTAACAAACATGCAAAAGTCTCTATTATGGTTTAACAGCAGGTTTCAACAAGTTGGCAGTAGCTGCTTGATCCCTCAGAGTTGATTACAGTCTGAACATCTGTATCCATTCCTGTACTACCAGTACAGTAAATCACACTTTAAAAGGAAGTGCACCAAAACTTCAGTAAAAATGGAGAAAAACAAAAAACAACCATCAATATGTCAGCAGTCAAGCTCATTTCCTGCAATGTGAGCGGCTGATGTGGCCCTTGTGGCTTCGACTGATCTGAATACCGGCGTGTGAGGGAGAAGAGACAGCCTAGCAGTTTAACAATCATTAAAGATGGCGCACAAAGCAACAAGGGATCACAGCACTTGTTATTAGCAGCTTTGTCAGCAAGAGCAGCATTTGTGGCGTCCAGCACCAGCCGCCCATTACTCTTCTCTGTGTGCAACAGTTTAGCAGCTGTGTGGCCTTTAGAGAGCAAGTGGGAGACATCCTGTTTTTACAGTGGGATTTGCTGGGGGCACGTGGTGTGGAGCAGACCCGCTTCAAAACAGCACAATCCTGACACAGCTTATTTTGGGAGATTAAACTAAAATGTTCATATAACAAATATTTGCGATAAGACGTTAAAGGAGGATCTAAGAGTTACTGCACTGTGATGTTGCTCTCTATATGAATGGTGGGCTTTTAGATTATTAATTAAATCATTCACTGAAAATGTGCCAGTTCACATATGTTTGAAAGGTGTCTGGAGTCCTGTGTGCAAACACATGACGAGGTCAAACATTAAACCCAACACACATTCTTTAGAATCTTATCTGCTATGGATTCCAAAGTGCTTGGAGTCCTGGGTTTGGAAAATATTGTGTAAATACATATGGGCTGCAAACTCAGGGAAAGCGAGAAAAGATTTTCCATGTGCGCTACCTAGAACAAAACTAAAATGAAATGGAGGAATTTTTAAGCAGCGCTAAATTCATTTTCCATCTGACTTTGGTTTGGCTTGGTAAATGACGGTGGAAACTCCCATGCATCAAAAGGCATCAAAGACGGCATGAATTGGTCAGAACAAGAATGAACTAAAAGCATTAAAATGACTAAGTTTAATCTGAAGTTACAATTACATAGCTGTTTCTATACATGTTTCTCAAAATGATTAAAGCAAAGAGAGGAAATGAATAGAATGAAACATTTCTCTCCAAAATGACAAACTCAGTCCACTCTACCGCAAGCACTACACTTGAAATGCAAGAACGTAACAATCCCACATTTTAGAGACACATGAGTGTAAGTCAAAGACAATCTGGTCAATGTAGTTAGCCTAAATGGTAAAAGGGCTACAAAAGGCATCCCTCGATGTTTCAAAATGAAGTCTCTTTAACGTTGAACTCGTTTTGGGCTACATTGCAATGCAGACAAACACCTTTCTGTGGTTTTTCAAGCTTTCGAGAGCACAAGACATCACTCAGTTCTATTATGCTGTGTGAATATAAGTTATGTCTGTGGTAAGCCCGCCTTCCACGATTAGACTTTTGCATAAAATGTTCCATGGACTCATTTACATGTTGATTATCATTGGATGTCAGTGATATCATAACTATGGCACGGTTCAAAACCTGTTACACCACATAGCTACCTACAATTAGTATGCTACAACCTCCTCAGCAAAACTGTGCTTTGCTACAGTGGATGCCTGGACAGTTTTGATACATCTCGGTATAAAATGCCTTTAACACACTATTGGAATGTTTGCAGGAGACAAAGTCAATTTTTTTGTCTCTGAAATCTCAAAGAAAGAAGCTGAAGTAGAGAAAACAAATATAGAAAACCTACAATCAAAGAAAAAAAAAAATAGAGAATCTTCATTCAGGAATGCTTTATCATGTTAAGCAATAGTCCAAGGTGTGTGACACGGGTACGTCACAGTAGACAGGAAACTAAAAGCAAGCCAAACCCATTACGTTGTTTCAAAGAGGGCCGTTTGAAAACGAACCAAAAATAAATGTTAACTCTAAATCAAAACAGCACGAATATTCGGTGGAGAGTGTGATTTTCCCCATATTGAGTTAATTTGTCCTAAACAGTCAGTGCCAGTGTCATTAAGACTTGTAGTTAGATGTTAACCAAGTTAAGCCTTCGTACAGTCCGTCACCGGTGGTCGCGCACGACGGCTGCACGTACCAATTCCTATCCCGGATGCGCGTCAGTCCCAGCTTCTCCTGGATCTCGTGTGGCTTCATGGCGTCCGGCAGGTCTTGCTTGTTGGCGAAAATCAAAATGATGGCGTCCCGCATCTCGCGGTCGTTGATGATGCGGTGGAGTTCTTGCCTGGCTTCGTCGATGCGATCTCTATCAGCACAATCCACCACAAAAATTAACCCTTGCGTGCCTGTGTAATAGTGTCGCCAGAGGGGACGGATCTTATCTTGTCCACCCACGTCCCACACGTTGAACTTGACGTTTTTGTAGGTGACAGTTTCCACGTTGAAACCGACAGTTGGGATGGTGGTCACAGACTGGCCGAGTTTCAACTTATAAAGGATGGTGGTTTTTCCTGCGGCATCCAGTCCGAGCATCAATATTCTCATCTCTTTGTTACCAAATATCTTTGACAGCATCTTCCCCATCTTGTATACCGTTCATAAATGGTTACTACCCTCCAAAAAGAAAAAGTTTGATAAGGATAAAGGTTTGAAAAGTGAAATACAAGGGCTTTTTCTTTAAGACTTCCTCTTTGGAATGTCAAATTTGGAAGTGAACAGAACACGTGTATGTAACTTTATCACGAAACTGGGCTTAAAGTCACAGTGAATAAGATGCAGTTCAGCCAATACAGGTCACTGGGTTGCTGATTAAAGACAGTACTGAAAACTTTCAGTAGTTTTTGCTTCGGTTGTAGGGTGGTACCAGTTTGAAAAACGCCACCCGCAACAATAATCCACAGAAACGTGACAAAAGCAGCGATTTTTCGGTGCTTTTCCTGTGTGTCTGGTAAGTGCTGTGAGGCCTCTTTTAAGAGCCTGTGGTCTTTCGAGACTTCCTCTTGGCGTGTGAATGTCCGTCTCGGGGGCTGTTTCACGTCCTTCCCCCAAAATGTAACAGGATAGCAGCTGAAGTCGTTCAGAGCCTCGGTGGAAAAGCGTTCATTTGGCCGGCCGGTGGGTCTGTCATCTGGACCGTCTGAAGCGGAGCCGCGTCGATTTCAACCGTCCTGAATTCGAATTGTGTCTCACGTGCCCCTGAGAGACAAGAGATGCTCAGAGGGAGTGCCAGAAAAGAGCAACTTAGCCTGCTAGCTTAGCCGGCCGAACAACTCACAGAAAATCGCTACCACACACTTTTTACACATATTTTCGACAGGTTATGTAAAATGTAACCATTAACAAGTTATTATCATTCATTTTAGAGCGACTAAATGCGTTTTAGTTACCTGCGGAGGCCCACCATTCTCTAGCACTCTCAACCCCGGTGTTCACTCCTAAAATCAGCAGAGTTCAGTGTGAAACTGACTACGTCAACGCGAACGAGCGGAAACGGCCGTTGCAGCCCGATTTTCATAATAAAGGTGTTGGCAAACGTCAGACTTTCCTTTAAAAAACACATTTAAAATACACATATCATTCAATATCACACAATGTAAAACATAGAAAACGGGGCAGATAGCGACATTATTAGTTGTTCCTGTACAATCAGCAACAACAGAGGACAAATCTAATACAAAAGTGATTTAAAAAAAATCAATAAATGATAAGATGGTTGTTATGAATTGAGGTGTAAAAAAAAAAAAAAAAAGTTGACAGTGCTGATGAAAGGCATGATAATGGGAAAGTTTACCTAAAAGTGAAAATTCTGTCTATATTTCCTAACCCCCATGAAGTTACAAAACTATATGGCTTTATTTCCTTTATTTCTTCTGAGGAACACAACAGAAGACATTCTTAAGTTTATTGGTAACCAAACCATTTTGGTGACCACTGACTTCAAGCAAATAAATAAATAAATAGGCGTCAACCTTCTAAGACCCATAACTGACTTATGAAGACAGTCACTTGTCACCACCTACTGGTGTAACAATGTAACCTGCATAATAAGTCACATCTATAATGGACGGTCTGGAACAAACAAGGATAATGAGAGTGACACAGTAGAAACAGTAAAAAGTCCTAGTTTGTCTGAATATCATCACTTGGGCTGCTGCTCAACAAAGTCAGTGAATGACCAGAACTAACGTACAACAGGTAAATTAAGATATGATTAAGAAAGAACAGGCTCATCAAAAATTAATCTCAAAGTTCTGTTCTGAACCAGATACTAACATTTTCATAACATCCAAGGAACCATAAATGGTTGGATATGCTCTCATTGGTCCGAAAACACACATTTAAGGGCAGCAACTAATATGAGAGTAAATGTTGATTTGGTTCAGCTACAAGATCAGACATCAAGAGACTACAGCGGACAGTCAGGACTGCTGAGAGGATTATCTGTGCCCCTCTGCCCAGCCTCCAAGATCTTTACATCTCCAGAGTGAGGAAAAGGGCTAAAAATCACCTT